CTTTCTTTCTTTCTTTCTTTCTTTCTTTCTTTCTTTCTTTCTTTCTTTCTTTCTTTCTTTCTTTCTTTCCTTTCTTCCTGGTAATATCTCCTTATCGCTGTCCTTTGATTTCTACCTGCCTCTTAATTTTTCTCTCATTAGCCTTCTCTTATCTTCTTCCATCTTTTTCACATGAAATCTCCCTTGTCCTGGCTTCCTTCTCCCTACATCCCAACTTGCCTGTTTTGGGGGCCAGGGAGGGAAGGCTTTGGTTAGAGCATAGTTGAGAGGACATTTCACATTTAGTGAAAAATTTGAGATCCAGATTATTTTTCAGAAACATAGGCTAACTGTCCAACAACAGTGCCTGGAGAGGAGGAGCTACTGCAGGACCTTCACACTTGTCAGGGCTCCAGCCAGGGACTTCGGCTTTTAGGCCAGTTCACACTCTTTTGTCTACACTGTGAACTTGCTCTGCTAGCCATTTTTCTACTAAGTCCCTGACAAGAACTTTCTGGGTTACTCCTCCCCTGGAGCTAGAATTGAGTGTGGACTGTGGGCCGTGGGTTTCACTTTCAGATATCCTGGGTTCACATCTTGGAAATGACACTTACTTTATAGCACTGGGTGAGTTACTTAATTTTCCATGCCTCGGTTTCCCCACCTACAAAATAGTAAGAATGACACATCTCTGATAGCGTAATTCTGAGAATCAAAGAAAATCAATCCATGTAAAGAGCTCTGGACAGTTTCTAGCCACAGTGTATGCTAAGGAATGTTGGTACCAGTACTGCTATTAACATAAAAACCCGCACTTTGCTTTCTGAGGCAGATGAATGAGAGCCAAGGGTAAAGCTGAGCTGCAGCTAAGCGTTTGCAGCTCTTTGCTCCTGCTTTTGGTCAGTCGCATCGATTATTCTTCTTTCAATCAGCACTACCTGTAAGCCCCTAGACTTTTCTTCCATGAAAATCTCCTTCAAATCCAAATCATTAATACAAAGTATTGGTTTCTTGCCAATCATTTCACTGGCTAATTGTCCACTGAGAGGCTGGTAGAACTTAGAATATGATCAGAAATATGATTTGTGGTCTCTCACAAACATAATAATAATAGGACTTCAGGAGCTGGAGAAATCTGCAGTAGGACTCCGCAGGAATTTGTCTGGAAACGTCAAGATAAATACATGTCCAGCCTGAAAGAAAGAGCCCTTCTTTGTTGTTCCTTTAGTTGAATTTGGGCCTCAAATCTGCCTAAATGGAATAGATAATTTGATCACTCTTCTTTATATTAACATACCTAACATTTGAAAACAAGAAGTCACCAGTGCCCTCTTTATCAGCTATTAGGGTTTCTTTATTTTTCTCCTGAAGTTTTAGTTTCTGTCCCCCTTCCATTGCAGGAGATGCATTAAGTGTTCATGCTTCTTGGGGATGGAATGGCTATCTTGGACCATATGGTCAGTTTGCCCTCCTAATTCTGTGACTTGGCCATGCCCCTAACCACTCAGTGTTTAACCCCTTTCCGCCCCTTCCCAGAGCTGTGAGGGTCACACAACCCCCGCTACCTCTAGCAGCTCATCAGAGGCGGTTCAGAGTCACAGCCTGCTTGGACGTCCTGTTATGAGACACTCTGTGCCTGCTGCCAGTGAACCTGCTCACGTGGGACCAGTTCCTTGGTACTCTGCAGATTTTAACAGAAAATCCTGACTCTTTTGTGCATTCAAACTCACTAGGAAAAAAAAGAAATTAAATGACGGTCTCATGTATGTGAGCAGCTGGCTTGTGACTTGTGAGCCAAGATGCTTTTCCAGTCTTGGACATGACGGATACACTTGGCCTTGTGCTGACCACACTAATCCGTAAGGGTAGTCAGTTTTCTTTTAAAAATTTTTATTAGTAGCTGTTTGTGATACATTGTATAATAATTACATTCTTCATGGCGAGTTGGCTCATGCACATGGCATATCTTAATTCCTTTTTCATCTTCCTCTCCCATCCCTCCCCTCTCCCTCAACCTCTTGGTCCCCTTCCATTTTGGAAATGATCTATGTCCCTATTTTCTATTATCTATTTTTTATTTTGTTCTTAAATTATATGTTGGGTTTCTCATATAAGAGAAACCATGCAGTAATCTTGCGTGTCTGATTTATTTCACTTAACATTATGGTCTCAAAGAGCATCCATTTTCGTACAGATGACTCAAGTTTATCTTCCTTTATGGCAGAGTAGTACTCCATTAATAAATACCACTTTCTTTATCCATTCATCTGTTGATGGACATATAGGCCACTTCCAAGATTTAGCTATTATGAATTGTGCTGCTATAAACATGGATATGCATGGATCATTGTAATATAACTCTTTTGGGAAGATTCCTAGACAGGGAATAGGTGGGTCAAAAGGAATTTCTAGTTTTAGTTTTTTGAGGGATCTTCATTCGGATCTCCATAATGGTTTTATTGTTTACATTCCCACTGACAATGTAGAAGGGTTCCCCCCCCACATACAGTCTTATCAGTATTTGTTTTTATTTGATCCCTTGATGATGGTCATTCTTTCTGGAGTAAGATAAGATCTCCTTGTTGTTTAAATTTGCATTTCTCTAATGGCCAGCAGTGTTGGATTTTTTTTTTAATATCATGTTTTTTATCGGCTATTTGTACTTCTCCTGAGAAGTGTTTAATCATTTCTGTTGCTCATTTTTTTGATTGAGTCTTTTATTTTGAGGACGGTCTATTGTTTTGAGTTCTTTATATATTCTAGATATTAGTCCTTTTTGTGAGGAATAGCTGGGAAATTTTTTTACTATTCTCTAGGTTGTCTTGTACCACTCTGTTGGTTGTTCTCTTTGCTATGCAGAAGCTTAGGTCTTAGAGATATCATCTCCCTTCCTGTGGAATGAAGTTCTGTTCA